ATTTGGGACCTTCATAAATGCAACATCTTTATTCAAAAGTTGAAATTCAGGATGGTTATACTAATATCAATAATCCCACAGGAGGGAATATAGTTTGTGGCTCTCAACCTGAAGGACACCTGTTTTCATGTAGATAGTCATCTGTCCCATAGAAAGTTCCTTTGGTTCATGAAAGGTCAGGAACACTTCCAGTTCAGAGCCCTTCTTTTTTGGATTGGCAAAAGCACCCAGAGTATTTGCTAAAGTTTTCTCTGTGGTGGCAGCCCAGATGAGACGTCAAAGTTGCACAGTTTTCTTCTAATTGGACAATTGGGTCCCAGTAGGTTGTTCCAGCCCTGAGGACAGATCAATGACTTTGTTCCCATTCCATCTTCTAGCAGCCTTGGGTGTCTATGTGAATAAATAAAAGTCCGTTTTAACCTCCAGAGCCACACTGGATTCCCTTTCAGCAAGAGCTTTCCTCCCCACAGAAAGATTTCAGTTTTAATGAGCAATCTAATAACACGGATTACTCGCCAAAGACTTATGGTCAGTGTGCCTTTCTCTCTTGAGTCACATGATCTCATGTACTTGTGACACCATTTGCCAGGCTTCATCTACAATCCCTACAGGCCTGGCTTCTGTCTGTCTGCTCATCAGACAAGGACCACATGAGCACCAGAGTGCTGGTTCCCACCAGGGTCATTGCCTCTCTTGCTTGGTAATCGAACCCGGATCAAGTGAGAGTAGGCATCCTCTTCAGCGCTCCCACCCACAGTGCTACCATAGTAATGGACACATCCCTCCAGGGTTGGGGGGCTTACCTGAATAACTACACTGTACAAGGTACCAGACTCCACAGGAGGCCAGACAGTACATCAACTTGCTGGAACTAAGAGCAGTCTGCAGGGCTGTCTCTCTATTGTTCCAGAGCAGCTATGAGCCATGACTCTCAGGGCAATGTTTTCCTGCTGTAATAGACAACAGACCAATTCAGATATGCATTTCTGCCCACTTCCCTGCTACCATAGGTCTTGAGAATGACTCTGACCTTGTCTTGACGGACCTTTCTCCTAGTACCCAACCTGCCCAGACTATTTTCATTCCCAGACCTTCTGAGAATGTCAGTCAGTCCTCGTATCAGGATCCGTCCCCTTCCCAAATATCCTTACTCAGGAAGGCAGCAAAATCTGACATCCCAATCGAAATCCAGTTCACTTCGTGGTTTGGTGTTTGAATGGACATCAGATCTAGAATACTCCTGCTCAACAGCTGTCCAAGTCATTCTTAATCAAAATAGGAAAGATTCAATCAGGAGTTGCTATGGAGCTAAATTGAAACGTTTCTCTACCTGGGCACAGTCTTCCTCAGACTTTGCTGGTATCCCAGTTGTTTTAGATTATCTCAATGGTTACAGGTACACTAACACATGGTGGTGACAGCTCAGCCAGTGGCGGGACTTTCCACTGCCCCCTAGGCCAGATGAAGGGTTAAAGCGAGATATCCTAACTTTTATAGACTGAAACAAACAATCTGGGATAAGCGATTTACGGATCATCTTACATGTTCCATGACATGTTTGTTACCTCCTCTTGTACTTTTCTCGTGATGTTTCAGATAAAATATCCCTATTCATTACTTTTGTCAAATTATTTTATTGTATGCTAGGTTGGTCTGTTCTAGTGCTGCCCTGCTGGAATGTGTTTACCTATTCAGTGTGTTTTAGCAATGCTAGCAATATTGGTGCTGAGTTCATGTACTAGACACTGGCTTGCAGGCAAGCACCTGCTTTTGACAGGGCCTGACTGTTGCTCATAGCATAACTTATGCTGACTTAGGTTCAGGCATCAGGCCTTGCACCAGGCCCATGCTTGAGGTTCTCTCTACTACATGTACTAGTTCAGACCTCTGCTGCAAATGCTGCAGTGGGAACTGCAGTACTTCCAGCATCTTTGCTGACAACATCCTTCCACCCACCTTCAGTCTGATGCATTGCATACACAGCGGGACCTGCACTTGAAGAAATGGAGGTTGCTTACCTTACAGTAACTAGTCAAGATGTGTGGCCTCTACCTGTATTCCACTACCCGTACTTCTTCCCCTCTGCTTCAGAGCTTATTGGATTTGCAGTAAGAAAAGGAACTGGAGAGGCATCGACCCACACTGCCTCTTCAGCCCTCAGTCTGGAGCACTAGGAGAACGACTGTGCATGTGCAGGCCAAAGTACATTGCTTGTTAGAATTTCCAGACTTGGGCGCATGGCGCTCATGTGTACCCATGTATGGTATATAGATAGGGACCATACTTCTTGGAGATGTGCATTGTGATAGACCCAGGCCAGTTGGGTACAGCAGAGTAGTAGAAGGCAGATATTCTGGCCACTGGTTAAGTTTTCTGTTCCCTGACTGACCAGGGCAGGGGCTGCTCCATTGTAAGGTGGACACATGACTCCAATTAGCCTGCAAAGAGACAGTTGAAGCCGTTAGGCTAATGAGAACACCTGACTCTAATTAACCTGTAGAGTCAGGTGAGGCTGTTAAGCACCTGACTCTAATTTAAGGCCCCTCTGATACTATAAAAGGGCTCACTCCAGTCAAGCCAAAGAGAGCCAGGGAGCCAGAGGAGAGGAAGTCCGGCTGAGGGGCTGGGTAATGAAGACACCCTGAAACCACTGGAAAGGGAGCCCTAAGGTAAGGGTGAAGAAGGCGTTGAGAGAGAGAAGCAGGAGAGCTGTGAGGAAGTGGCCCAGGGAAATGTAGCAACTCTGGCAGTGAAAGGTTGGCTGCCAACAGCTGCTGCCATTAGGGTCTCTGGGCCGGAACCTGGAGTAGAGGGCGGGCCTGGGTTCCCCCCCAACCCGCCACTACAGAAACACCTCCTGGGAAGGAAAAATAGGCCCCTGTCAGGACAGGAGACTCAACTGTTCTTGAATAAGTCCGTAGGGACAACAGAGACTGTGGGAGTTCTCTCACCAACTTCCTTGCTGGCTTATGATGAAAAGAGTTCAGTAGACTGTACCCTGGCCCTAGAGAGAGAAGGGCTATGTGGAGGGTCGCAGTGAGCCTCTCAGACTAGCATAAACCTCCTGGAAGCGCGGGACCCACGGGGACAAGGTCGGAGCTCTGCCACAGCATACTTCACACCTGTTTCTCATGCACATCAAACAACTACACCAACCTGCCATTCATTCGTTACTTCATACCCTCATGACTAAGTCATAAGTACTTTGGCTCATCCCCATTCTTTTTCAATCCGCTGTCTTTAGTCAATCCCTGCTCAATCACCAGTTCATGAACTGATTCCAAAAACATTCCCAACTCAGTCATAACTTCATTCATACACTATTAACCCCATCATCAGATTTATCAGTTTGCTTTTCCTTCTCTTTCCCCTCACCCAATTCATCAGTTCTCTTCACAGCTCCATTAAATCTGTTCCCATACTGTCATGTCTCTTTAAAGTTGTGTAGCTGTCTCAACTCTTTGCCCATTGTTGGGCCACCTCATAGTACATGGTTGCCTCTTCGTGTCTTTCCCTAGTCAGGTCTCAGTTCTTCCTCTCATAACAGGTGTTTCACCTCTGCTTCATTTGCAACATTGCATCCATCCCCTAGATTGTGGAGGGACTGGGGGTTCTGTCCCTCTCCTTTGTCTAGGAAGGGTCCAGGTAAGGAGCCAGATATCTTCTGTTCTCTCTCTGCGTGGAGAGTGGACTTCCAGAACTGGGTGAGTGCAGTTGGCAGCTTTAGAGCAGTACCATTGTCAAGCTGCACATTGTCAAAATACTCTGGGCCTGGCCTCAGCCAGCCAGGAGATGAAGAAGAACCATGTTTTGGTCCAGGAGAGTGGGAAGCCTGGATGAACTGCTGATCATCATTCCTTAGTCCCTATATGCATAAGGTAGGGGGAATCAAGGAGGAGTCAGGAGCTCAGAGGATTCAACAGGTGTCATTGCAGGGGCTTCTTCACTCACTCATCTGCTGAACTGAGGTAGAGTGAGAAAAGGTCCTCTAACAGGCCCAAATTTGTAACACCTTCTCTCTTACCACCTGTCACAGCAGCAGGGCTACATTTAGTTCACATTTCTAAGGTTGTTTTCTAAGGTTAGAAGATGCCTTTAAAAAGGTTAATTAGTTATTCATGGGGGGAGAGATAGCTTAGTGGTTTTAGTATTGGCCTGCTAAACTCAGGGTTGTGAGTTCAATCCTTGAGGGGGCCATTTAGGGATCTGGGGCAAAAATCTGTCTGGGGATTGGTCCTGCTTTGAGCAGCGGGTTGGACTAGATGATCTCCTGAGGTCCCTTCCAACCCTGAGATTCTATGATTCTATGAAATTCTAGTCCCATTGAAGTCCACTGTATTCACTATTAATCCAATCATCAGAATTAAATGGGACCAGGATTTTAACTTGTACATATTTTCTGTGTATTCCGTATTTGTGTATCTTGACATCCTTTCATGTAATGGTCTTATTTCCTTTCATGTGAGTATATTTATATTAACATATTCCTTAGAATTTGTGTGATATCCTGAAATTCTTTATAAAAAGACCTGTTTCCCTGAAATGCTGTAAAGCTGTAGTAAAAATGTGCATTGGCCATGTTCTTTACTATGCATTATTGCAAATAATGTTAATAGTCTGTGTTTTGTTAAACTAACTGCATTCATTAGCCTATCCAGCATTTTAAATCTGTAGTTGATTTTCAGGACATCGGCTATATTTAAGAACAATTCCAAGTTTAGTTTAGTTTAGTGGATCACTGGATGTCCTGGCTTTCTGAAAAAAATAAACAAAAACAAACAAAAAAAACAACCACACTCCACACACCGCCAGCACAATGCATAGTAGTGTAAAGTTGAGAGTGGAAATAGGTAGATATTTCATATTGTTATCATCCTTCTGGTTCATTTGGGTTTAGGATATTTACTTTGGATTGTCTTTTTTCAAGTTGATCGTTGAATTTCATATAATTTAATTTGTAAATTAATGCAGACTTTTTTTTCAAACTTTGCTTCTGTCAGAGAAAAATACGCAATGATGTTTGATGAACCAGTTCTCTTGCAAGCTGGCTGGTGGTATGTAGCCTGGGCACGAGTGTCAGGCCCTAGCAGTGATTGTGGATCTCACGGACAGGCCTCTATTACAACAGATGATGGGTAATTTATTTTTGTGTCTCTTATATATTTGTATGAAAGAAAGCATCTAATATTACTTGAACGAAAGTTGCTTTTTTCTTTCAGCGTTGTTTTCCAGTTTAAGAGTTCCAAGAAATCAAATAATGGTACAGATGTTAATGCAGGACAGATCCCTCAGTTATTATACAGGTAATATTTTCATCCATTTTTGGGTCATGTTGTGGAATCTCTTTTTTTATGGAAGTACTGTAAAGATAAGCCTACAGTGCATGTTAGGGCCATTTTACTGGGTTAGGAAACTGATGTTTGAAAACTTGTGGGAAAATTAAGTTATAGCTGAAAAGACATACAGAAAAGTATGTGTCATACCAAAAGTTATTTCCATCTGGTTTTAAAAGGTTGTGGTGGTGTGTTAAGTATTGAGATTTTGGATTAAAATGTTCGCAATATTTTATCCTTAGTTTAGCTGCTAGTTTTGTGAATATTGGTCTTTTCCCCTAAAACAGTGTATTTTTGTGACAGATTGGAGGTCTTAAATGATTTGGCAGGCTTATTGCTGTAGGCTGTTTCTCAAAAACTACCATACATAATTTCGTACTGCAGTGCTTCTTAGAGAAAATACCCAAATGGTGCTTACACAGGCCTTGACTATGTATTTTTGTACGTAATTGGCATGTAGTTGGGTTTAAAGCTTCTGGGCAAACAGCAGATACTGCAATTTATCACCATTTTGTTCTGAGGTTCACAGAGCTTCAGCTGTAAGTATTTTAGGCCTCAATCATAAGACTTTGCATTTGATTCTGAGAGTTTTGGATTTCTTGGCACACATTCAATGGCCAGTAGACAACAAGAGTTGTCAGTAAAGCTTAAGCCACTCTCACAAACAGTAAGCCACTCTGGATTTTTTTCAGTGTCTTTCAGACTTGTGCCCTGATCCTAATTGGTACCTCTAAGTGCTACCACAAAACAAACAGTAAATATGCATGACAGGAAAATATTGCTTAATTGGGAGTTTTATTGACTGTTGCTTTTCACTTTGTGCATACAACAATGTTAGCTAAGATCAGAGTGTTGTTTGGGGATTTCCTTGGTGTGAGTGAATTAACACCTTAAAGTGTGGTAGGGATAAAAAATGAAATATGGGCTACAAAAATGTTGCTTAGGGCATGTCTGCATGTACAGCAGTGAAGCTGCACTGACGCAGCTGCACTGCTGCAGTGCATCTAGTGAAGACGCTCTATGCTGATGGGAGAGGTCTTCCATCAGCATAATAAAACCACCTCTGCAAATGGCAGAAGCTATGTTGGCAGGAGAGCTTCTCCTGCCATCATAGCACTGTGCACATGATCACTTATGTCGGTATAACTTACGTTTCTTGTGGGGAGGTTTGTTCACACCTCTGAACGACATAAGTCATGCTGACATAAGCTGTACTGTAGAAGTAGCTTTAGGGTTTTTGTGGTTGTGTGAATCTTGCCTACTATTTTACTTTGATTCCAATCTCTCTTGTTCCCTGAAAGGTCAAATGAATGTGACCAATTCAGTTTACATACATGTTCAGTTAGTTCATTTAAAACTAGCAAACGAGTGAAAAGTTTGCAATTCACAAAGATATCGCTGAAGTAAAGACAGGTTTGTTTTTTTTAAATTAGCCTCATCAGCTATGCACTGCACTGTCCTCTGCAAAAGAGAATTTTCCATTTGTGTAACTTTCTTAGGATGTAATATAGTCCCTCGGGTCAGCTGCTACTCTAGATTCACAGTGCTGGGAAGGGCTGTCAAACTTTAAAAAGATATTGAGGCAGCACTGAATAATTTTCTTTGGTTGATATTCTCTTAAGTGTTCCCTGTGTTATATTTTCTCCTCTTCCTAATCACATCATTTTGGGCTTTCTGTTTTGAGGCCCAGCCCTTCTCCTAGCCTTGGAGGTTTCCAAGCCCCCTTTCGCAAACTCAAAGGACTCCAGATCTCCCTTCCCTCTTGTTTTGAGTCTCCTCGGAGTCCTCAGTCTACTCCTCTCCTTATTTTCTTACTGCAATGCTTTCTTTTTGAAATGTTACATGAAATGCTCCATTCAGTGAACTTGCTAGCCAGGAGAGCTTTTGTTAGCCTGTAATTTTCCTGGTTATCTCCTCTTTCAGAAGGCCTTGCATCTCTTTCCGAGCCTTTTTCCATTTCATTATTCATTCAGTAAACCTCTCCTCCCCTCATTTCAGATCCACTTTTTGCCTCAGAAGAGAGAAAGTGTAAGGCAAAGCTCAGACACATTGATCTACCTTTAAAGAATAAAAAAAAAAAGCCTAGGAAGCTTAAAACAACAAAATATCAAGGCTGAAAGCCAAGATTGAAGAAGCTCGCTCTCTATCCTTACAGGAAAGAGAAATTTCCAGCAAAGTTTCAAGATTCAGATGGATACCTATATATAGAGAGAGTAATATTTCTGGAGAGTAAAATTGACAGTTGTATTTCCAATGTCAATTAATTCTATATTTTACTTTATATTACAGAAATAAAAATCTACCTATCCAGGTGCTAGGCACTTTTGAAGCAACTTTTAAAAGTACAGTAATATGGGTGAGTGGCATACCACTGATTTGGTTGACATAATGTACCCTCTCTGCACACATGCATATCATTTGAAAACTTACTATGTTTTCAGTGAGGGTGAGATGTGATGTGGAAATGTCAAGTGGTGCTATTACCATAGAAACGGACATAAACAACAGCATAACATGTTAAAATAACCACTTTGAAATATTTGCATTCGTTTCTGTTAGTTTAATGACTGTATTATTTCAAGACATAAAATTGGATTTCTTTGTGACCTCAAAGCATCACAACAATCTAAAGGGTAAAACAAAATCTAATAATGAATTTGTACAGGTATCATTGAAATGAAGGTGACATTTCTAGTCAATATCATTATCATCTTGTTCATCATTTTTATGTACTCTGTCAATAGTGCATGGGTTACCACAGTCTTCATTGTCTTAGCATGTACACAGTTCTGTGCAGGGAGGATTGTTGTGACTACAGGCACAGTCGAGTGTCCTTAGGGGTCCAGGCAAAAAGGAGATTTTGAAGCTAAGGTACCATTAGGCCCTTGAAGAATACAGGATGTAGTTCATCATCCACATTTTTCCATCCATGTTGCAAGGGTGATCCAATATCTGGTTTACCTCAGCTCAAAGACATCCAAATCTTCGTTTGCTGATACGCTCTTCAAAACTGTCTTCGCATGGGGGGAGTTTGGATAGTGACTTGTTCTTTTTGATGGCTAGATTGAGGTGCAATCAAGTCAGGTCTCTATGGGTCTCCTTTTCTTAATTGCTCTGGTCATACAGCACTGCTACCAACTTCTTTGCCTCAGAAATTGCAGCTTATCCATCTCTCTCCCCCAATTTGACAGGATCTGTGAAGAGGTAAGCTCCTTTTATTTTGACAACATTAAACACAGATTTTTCCCAATAACAAATAGGGATGACAGAGTCACATCCTGTTGTTGTGTATATAGCAAGAGGTATGTTGCAGAAGTCAGGAGTGAGTGTATTACACATTGCATGTGCAGGTTATGAAGTGACGCTTTTCAGTTGTGCTGGTAGCGGTGCCTATTTCAATCCAGGTTATTGGTGGAAAGTAGTGAAGAGCAAGGATCAAAACATCTGTACCATCTGACCTAATTACTGTACATTTGACACCAAGAGACCCAAGAGCCATATTGGCACGTACAGCATGCAGAAACATCCTTGTGTTCACTACCTCTTGAATGCTGTACAAGTCTTGGGCTTCTTCAGCACCTTTACTGATGATGGACTTTGCTACTTCACCATTGAAAAAGCCTCGAGCTAGGAGGAGTGTTTCTGCTGGGTGTGGTTCTGCAATCTCAGGTGCATTGTGAACTATATATTCACAGCGGAATTTTACAAGTGACTGCTTGTTGGGTGCCACGTTTAGAAACTTTTTCAGTGAAGACATAGGAAATCCACCAATCACCTGGTATTTCTTCCATCCAACTTTAGATCTTGTCTGGTGCTGTCTTTCTGCACTTTTCACAGAGTTATTGTTGTCATATCAGTCAGACTTCAATTACAGAATTAGCTTTGTCAAATCCTTTTAGGACCTACATTAAATACTTAGGAGCCAATTCATCAAATATGTGGAATTTGTCTCCCAGCCATTGTTTGTATGACAGCCATAGCATCTCTGATGTACACTGGTTTCTTTGTTGCATGCTCTTAGCTCCTGGATTCTTTCAGCTTGAAAGCTTCTAGCTGATGTCAAAATTCAGCTCTGTCTGTTCTTATCATTGTTCCATCAGCATGGAAGCATGGATCCTATTGGATGACTAAGAACAGTTGCCTTTGAAACATCATCTCTGCATCTTGCTGAAGACAGCGCTCTATGGGAAACAATTTTTGGATTGATAGCTGCTGTGATTGTGCCTCCCTGTTGGACTTAAATTTCATTGTGACCATGTCAGAAAATGTTTTGATGCCAGATTTCTTGACTGGACTGAAGAAGCCATGTGTCTCATCAGAAGCAAGTGCATTTCTCACAAAACTCTCCATTTGTTCTTCACCAACATTTATTTTCACTAGACCCTCTTGTACATCTGATGTTACATCCTGTCCATTAGATATGTTGATTACCACCTCTGGGTGTGATACAGGGTCAAATGGGTTTGTCATATTGTTGATGACATTGTTTGTTTGTAATATGCTCTTCGTCCCTCTTGAATACAGAGGCAAGGAGTTGTTTGTGGATTTTGTCTTCACGAATTCTTGTTAGGACAGTTCTTTCTCTCATAGTTTTTGCATATTCACTCAGGACATGTCTGTGAGGGTCCATCTAACCAGGGCTGACCTTTTTCTTGTCAGTCCTACAATCCCACTGCTGACCTTTTAGAGTCTTTGACAGTTTTCTCTGTTCCCATGTCACTCTTAATTCCACTGAAAGAACCAGGAGTCTCATGCACATCAATTTCCCCAGATTCAAAGACACAATGCCTTTGAATGCACTACTTCAGGGAGATTTAACAGATCAGGAATGTAGATTGGTATCTACCTGTCATAGTTGGGCCTGCTTGCTGTAAAGAAGTATGGCAACATGTCATGCTGTGTGAAGGTGAAGTTTCCAAACACCCTCTTGCTCTGCACAGACATTTAGAAGTAGTATATGCATAACCTGG